TAATAATTTGTTTCTTAAAGATAAATATAAAAAATGCTTTTTGTACGATTGACTTGTGTACGTAGTGAGGTACACAAGTCAATTGGTAGTTACCTATGATTATAAGATTGTTAAGAAATAGACAATAAGCTGTGTCAAATGTTTGAGAGAGGACACTGACTCCTGCAACGCAGGTTATTTTTCACAGGTTTTGAAACAGGTTGTGCAGCTATTGTGAAATCCTGAGAAATCGATATGGGCTGTAAAGCTTCTTCAACTAGATTTTATCACGTTATTTCCGTTGACCATAAGTGAGAAGGTATTGCTATTAAACATTACCTACTAAATATAAACATAAATTACTAATCAAAGTTGCGCTAACTTACATGTCTTATTCACGTTTCGCGCCGTTAAGAAATTTCTCTTTCGCACTCATGGAATTCAGTAGTGAATTTTGTAAACAATGTCGCTTCATAGGAGCGCATCGCGAAGCGCTCCACTCAAGGGTCAGTAGACCAGTATGCTATACTGTATTAAAGAGAAAGATAAAAATGTAATTATGTGTTTGTCGTTCATTAGTAAAAAAAAAAATACTGCGGCTAGTAATATGATATAAAAGCATAATTAATAAATTTGTTTTGGTGGGTTGAATAGAAGTGGGAGTTCACTGCACCAGCGCTCCTTAGGACGAGCCGCCTCTGGCAGTGGTAGCTAGTCGAGGAGCCGATAGTATAACAGATTATGCGGAAATCAATTTCAAAACGATGTCTTAGAAAATCTCGATACGTACACTTCAAAAATGTGCCGCTCCGTCTCCTACAGCGTCTTCAATGGATTCCCGCCAAGCTAACACCGCTTTTAATATTGGAATTACGAGTACATTAGTAAAAATATAAAATTTGGATCATTGCTGAAGATTCTAAAGGATTCCATTTTTGATGAATGATGATCCATACAAGTTTTGGTTTGGCTTGGTATCCGTGAGACATCAACCAAGGTTGCTAACTGAAAATCAACGCGGAGTATACTTTGCCCCGCATATTATGCCGAGGTGGTGATCTATTCGACGGGGCATGGAGAATAACATACAATGATTGTTTGTTTTTTGTTAAGCCTAATTTTTACTGTGTTTTTCTCTTTTTTTTCTCATGTTTTTACCTTTTCTTTTATGTATTTTTGCCTCGTCGAATAAATGATGTTCTATGTCCATTATATTTCTAAAAATATGCAATAATGTCATCAAATTAGTACCAGCGATTTACCATCAATTCCTCTGTGGATAATGTTGATACCCAATAAATACCTACTTTCCTTGAAGACAGAGATTAAGACGATACGAGCCACAATTCCCATGGTATCATCATTACATTCATTACAAAGAAATGGGTCCACGATACAGTGAATATTTCAGTTGTTATACTTACCGCGAACCGTAACACGCGATTCCGCCTATTGTCTCTGGTGAGGCTACTTTTGGGGCTTCTTGCCAATCGATAAAAATATTGACGTCGAATATTAACCGAATAGGTACATATATTGTATTAATAGATACTATCAATGAAGGACGGTTTTCCTATCGACGGTTGTCGAAGGGGTTTATAAATATCAACGTTGGTTAATTCAAATAGGTAGGAGGCCTTTCGAAACAAGGTTGATTGTAATTGGAATGAAATTAAAGATTGGAGCGGTGCAGAAAACTATTTTTTCGTTATTATTGAACGACAATTCGATAAAAGGACATAAAAGAACTTATAAATTGTGCGTCGTCACACGTCACTCAACTGTGGCGTCAGACAAATTGAGACAGTGCAGAAATAATACGGCATTGTATTAAAGACGATTCGGAATGATCGATCGAGTCGGGGCGTTCGTTTTAATTTCGATTCCTCCAGATAGGCCCCGGAGGCGTGGTCGCTCGAACAATTTGTTTCATGTCCCTAATACCTACTCATACCTTCCAATAGCTGGAATTGCCTTTTATTGCGTGAGGAACATCGTATAAAATGATATCGTGTCATACAACAAAAACGTTTAATCCATTTATTTTTTGCCGTCTTCTGATATATTAAAGTTGAAGACACAAACACATATTTTTCTTGACGTTATATAGCAATTATAATTGTAGACCTTAATTACCAGGCCGACAGCGGCTATATGGAGGTGCTACAAGGCGGATATCGCGAAGAGGAAACGTTTCAAAACAGACGTCGAGACGTCACTTAGAGGAATCAGTCAGAACTTGGTAAATCCAATATCTAAGTTTAGAGTGCGCACAAAAGCGTCTCAAGCCTGTGCAGCCTTATTCTGATTTATCGTAGTCTCCGTTTGAATAAACTGTATTTTATTAGTACGTATTTTTTGTTGGTATTGGATTCAATGTTGAGTTGTATGGTCAAATAACTAAAAAAAAACAAAGACGAAATACGCATTTCGAATCGTTGGTATAATAAAGCTACAAGTGGTCATATGTTATAAATGCTTTTATTACATGAAATTCATAAAAATAATACGAACTATATTAAACATATTATGTTTATGTGAAATTTTATAACTTCCCTATTTAAGCATAAAAAAGTTTTCGACTAATTTCGTTAGTACTATTTTTAAACCTGGCTCCTGAAAAATTGATATTTTGCAGATGTGGCCTTAATATAAGAGTGTGATTTAAGTACCTAACCTAAGTTTTAGAGGATTTTTTATTATCATCAATTTTACCCAAATCTTTAGTAATCGATTTGAATCCTAATCCAGAATAGGTATTCGAGTTGCATAGAGGCTGAGCGTCGAGCGTCGGGCGTGCATCGTTCGATATCGCTGACAGTGACGGATTACCCGCCCGGTTCACGGCCGGTAGCGCGGCAACGCGGCAGCCCCCATCGACTATCATCTCACTATAAACTTTGCAGAATAACGTCTGTGCGACAAAGAGATACCTATTAAAAAAAATTAGTTTGGTGCTGGCAGTCTAGGGCCGATTTAGTCTAGTGAAAATAACGAAGTTGTGAAACGCTGGATTCGTTGATCCAAGTGTATACAGAAGCTTTACTTATGAAAGATATTCACTCGTAACGAAAAAGTGAACACAGGGTGTTTATTGAAAACAAATTTTCACATAAATAAAAAATACTTAAATTGGTAAATTGACACGGCGTATCCACTAACTTTAAAACGAGGCACATACTACATACATACGACGGTAGAGTGACTTGATATTGTGTATCTCGTTTGTAAATCCTCTATAATTCTTTAACCTGGGTACTTGCTACCTAGTAGCGGTTAGTGTCTCGTGGTGTTAACGCGATGTTCTGCCCCCCGGAGCGCGCCGCAGGGGGCCGCTCCTGTGCGCCAACAAGCGTTAATCGTGTTCAAATATAAAAATATTGTCTATGACACGCTTTATCCGTGATGTCTTCGGGATTTCCAAGGTCCTTGCGTTAAACAAGATTAGGGTATTAGTGGAATATGAATGAGAGCTTGAAAAATTAAGTCACTGCGCATTGTTCAGCGAATTAAGCCTTTTCGTCACGAAACTATAATTAATAATTAAATTCTTTATTCAGACAATACAAAAATAAAACATTTTGAGTACCCATTAACAAAACTATTAATAAACCTTGGATAATATACAATAATTTATAAATTATAAGATGTAATAAAATAAAATATGACCTAAAATAAAATAATACCATAAATAGGTTATTGTCATTAATGATTCGCATCCCGCACATACATCCAGTATTTAAAAATAGAGCTGTCGAAGGACGTGACACATACTACTCTCAGGACTGCATTGTCAGATGTAAGCACTCTTTTTCAAAATGAGGCCACTCTCGCTCGTAATATAGCGAAAAAGTCCGGAATGCGGGCTTCCGCTAACATGTTCGATGCACTGTAAAATCTAGGCAGCTTCACCAGGATACGGAACTATCTATAGATACTTGAAATTAGAAGATATTGTCAAGTCTATGCTATTGTTGACGAATTTTGTTTACAAAATATCAGTTGTCCAAATCACCCCAATTATATCAAATATTCCCAGGACGGAAGGAAGGAATCGAGACAGATATGACGTAATTTGTATCAGCGTGATGTATGGGTTCACCAGGTGAGGCCACATTCCCACCGACGGATGGTGATGGATCATTCAGCGTGCTTTGTCTGGGCCACTCGCCGTCCTCCCGCCGACAAATTTGGGGTCATTGCGATTCACTGCCATTGCGCAGCTTTATTGTGCCAAAAAATTTATTAAAAAGTTTTTTGCTTTGTTACTACATATTTTTAATGCGCTATTTAAACGCCGAAATTATTATGAATTAGGTATTCCTTTATTTAAGTTTCTTTATGTGAATGCACAATTGGGATATTTTATTTTATACCTAATACAAAAAAAGAACAATTTGAACGACATGGACATGTTCCACATTTAAGAGAAAGGTTCGGCGACTCCAATTCGATACATTTACGAGACTTGTCGCCATGTAAATACAACGTATCTAAAATGTTCTCACTTATAATTTGTGCTTATAGTGCATGTCGAAAATTTCGTTCCGTTACACGGCATGTTGGCGGGTCGGTGCTTCGGATAATGCCGCCGTACGGGGATACCACTCCCACATGACCCACCAACTACAGTTACCAACACAAAACGTCGTCGCGGCATACAATTCAATATATTTCGGAGTAATTTGATGTTCATTAAAGAAACTCTGGGACCGTGAACCAGAACACAATGGTTGAATGGCCATTTGTTGCTGCCGTTGAAAGGCACAATAATAATTCCGAAGTAGTTATTCACGCAGCAGTTAGGCGCACTTACGAAACGAAACTTCGACGGTTTATGATGGAGCTGCTATTTTGTTATTGGTGACCGTCATGCGATGGCGCGGAAAGATAAATACGTGTTTTCCCAACATCGCGGTTAAAATGTCGAATTTGCACAAGATCTTAGCTCCGCTATCTGATGGTTTCGGAACAAATTACCTTTTGATAAATATTAAATACCTGAATAAATCATCACTCACCTTGCTGGCTGTTCTTCCTAGTCGTTTTCTTCTCCTTCATCCAAGGATACTCAGGCACGTTAAGGCCACCTCCAGGCGATGGTAAGTCAGGCGCGTACCCTGGCGGAGTATGTTGAGGGCTAAGCTCTCCCCCTCCTAGCTGCGGGAGAGCTGTCATGAATTCCGCCATAGAAGGCTGGCTGTTGATGAAGCCAGTCTCAGTGCAGGTGTCGAGCATGGGGTGCGGAGCGCCGGCCGCAGTGACGGCGGCCAGCCAAAAGCCATTGCCCCCATGCTCCATGCGCGGGTGTTCCTGCCCCGGCGCAGGCCCCATAGGCGGTGTGTTCCTCGTCTTTACGGCAAACTCTTCTTCCATTTCATCGCGAACCCCCATGCCAGCTCTCACGGGTTGTTTCCCTCTTATCGTGGGGAACTCTTCGCATTTTATTTTGCGCACTAGTGGGTTAGTGTCGAGCGGTAGTGCAGCGGTGTTGCATATCTCTTGCATCGCTGCCAATGTGCGCTCTCAATGTCGAACTCGTGATCATTCACGCGTGGAATTTGTTTTTCGTTTCGCTGCATGCGCTGACATTTTTGCTCACTTATTTGGTTTGTAATTCAAAAAGTTTTCGTAAAGTTGTATTGCACTGGTTCTCGGTTGTATCATCGTATCTGCAAATGTTAAAAATTGTGTTAGCACCAGGAAAAGAGATCTGAAAGTAAATGACTTGAGCAGACTAGTCGAAACGGATGGATTACAAAGCAACCGACTCGTTAGTAAGTGTGAAGATGTACGAACTGAGCCCTGCCTAATCGTCTTCAATTTTGGGCTAAATTGAGAGCCGACAAATTAAATGTATCGGGAGGAGGCAGTCACGTGGTTATTTCGCAATTATTCGCGGACGTTCGACATTACAGCGGTTTTGTTTCGAATAATTATGTGCCTAACGTCGTGATGAACTCGTGGATAATGAGCGCTTCACATTGTTTATTGTAATTTAGCGAGCGGAGCACGTGACGCCGCGACACGACAATAAAGTTATTACAATCATCATGAACTTCACTGGACAATGAACAACGATTAGGAATAACATTTTCATGAACGAAATTTACTCATCAAAATTCAAACAACTTACACTGAAGTGAGTGGGAATAAGATAATTACATTTCCTTCCTCATGGGAACGAATTATTTGCAATATGCGAGGTATTGCAAACTTCACCTTTGTGGGATACTCTTAATTATATCTTCTAGAAAGATGAGGTTCTCATCCTTACAATCATTAAACGTAGATCTCCGGTGATAAATAAGATAACGATACTAAGTCAACTGTCGGTATGCCAACTTTACGATCTTTAAAGAAGCAAATGATTAACAAGTATCTTCACGACATGTCGCACATAGTGGGGCTCCGTTTAGGGCGGCCGAGGTTTGCGGACGTGTGGCGTCACTTTTATAGCCTGCAACTGGTGGACGCCCCACGTATCAGTTGGCCGAGAAGCGAGAACCCTTATTAAACAGCATGTAAAGTCGAAAATGTTCGCGATGTGTAGGCTGAGTGGAATCCGCGACGACTGAACGTCAATTAAAATTCAAACCGCGTTCGAAATACGATTTTTTTCCACTGGAATTTGCGGCGCGCCCGGGAGAAATGGCGGGAACGCGCCTTTTTTGTTTTATTTTATTTTTGAAAATGGAACGGCTGGCGGTTAAACCCATTTTAATGCGTATGGGTTGCTCTGCGTTTTGAATTAAAATTCTCTGCCGGCACTGTGTGTGGACGGACAATGAAATGTAATTTCCTTTTGAAATAATTGTATTGTTTTGCTGCTTACATTAGTATTATATGACATGTGCTTATGGATGTCTGCATAGGAAATTAGAAGTGTAACACTTTCCCATGTTTTTTATGGCACTTGAATTTAGAGGAGCACGTTACAATTTCAAATTTTGTCAAGCCTGTTTCTCCCCCGTGTCGCGAAGAAGGGTATAGCAGGTTTTACGCCGCGTTTCACTTTTCCGGCGCTCCCTCAGGGAAGATCCCCTTAAAACGCATAAAAAGGAGAACAGAGCCTACTTATGAATTTGTTTATGGGGCTATTTTGTGAAATGTCGTTTACACTGAAGGCGTTGAGTTCAAAAAAACAATATACTAATTTCATGTTCTATAATGTTTAAAGAGTTAAATAACAGGAACGAAGGCATACGATCTAACGGCAACACCTACCTAAATATATACATTATTAACGACAAAGACTTTGTTTTCATTTTACTCATCTTTTTCTCGGTTTCTCGGTCATTGAACCTGTCCGAAACAAGTTTGAGAAAATTACCCATTCGCGTTGCAAGCGCAAATGAAGCCTATGGTTCAGTGTTGGTGATACCTTATGATTATTACAATATGTGCCCTAAGTTGCTTTAGTTGGTAGCCTTATTTCGCTTTCTTTTAGCTAATCGCGGGTTATTTTCTTGGTTCCCTGACAGTAGTACATAACAGAACATCTGCGTGTAGGAGCCGGCTCAAACCAGTGGTTAGCGTCCAATTTGCCGGCCGTAACGATTTCCTCTTCGGGGAATCGAATGGCGTGCGTCCGGCCGCCCACACCACCGCATGTACATAAAATTGAACACACATAAATACATTGTATTTGGTGTGATGTAGTCTGGAAAAATTGTACCAATTATAGGAAATTACTTGTAGAGTTAGCCAAATAAGTGGGGGAAGTTAGCGTGTGTTTGTAAGCATAGGGTAGATATAGTAAGATCGTTGTATAAAATGGCATGATCAAGTCAAACATCTGTAGACTTACACTTTAGACGTAGGTACACTTCATATTTAATTAACGTAATCAATATTATTATGTATAATTAGTAATGTAATGTAATTCAGTGTCTTAAATAAAACACAGCATAAACCAATAGCTTTTTTATATTTTTAAGCACAGCGATATGCACACTTTTGGAACAACAATTTTGAGAAGTGTGTTGCTATAAAATATAACACGTATCTACTTAACATAAAATCTAACGTATATTTACAAATGTTGTCTATTAATATAACCAAATAAAGAAAAATTTAAATGCGTATATCATGTTCAATGTATTAATTGAATACAGTGTTTATTATTATGGATAATGTTAAAACGAATTAAATGAATTTTAATTTAGAGTTTTTTTTGGACTGCGCATGTGTATTTTGTATTCTTGTTTTACACAGTTTCTGAAGAATATGAAGTACGCATTTTCTATTGTATTATTGTACGTTTTTATATATTGTAATTTTTATATATTTTTCAATTTTTTTTTCAAATTTATAAACTTGATTTAGTCAAAAATTTATAATGTTAAAATATTTAATAAATCGATGACAAATAGTGTGTGTTTATGTAGCGTAAATTAAAAAACTTTTGTAACTAAACTTCATATTAATGGCATCAATATTAGACAACTGATTTATGACTATACTATCCCAGTCAGCTGTGGCCGTGGGACCTGTAAAGAACCCGAAACGTTAGTCGTTTAAAAAAAATATACTCCATTTAGATCACAAGAAATAGTTTCATAGATATCTGAAAAAAATATTTTTTATCTGACATCATTAAAAAAAATATTTCACATCTATGGTCCTATAGTGTAAACCCATTGGCAACATCTTGCTAATAGGGTCGGTTGAAGTTGATCTCTATTCATTATTATTTTGATTGCATTTTACTTTATTTAGTTTATGAAATTAAGTGAAAGCTACAACCTCGTGTATATGTACATATAGGCGGTCATATTTATACATTATTTATTTATAGCGATGCTAAATGTATGTATTTACAAAAAAATTTAAAAGGTTAGTAGAAATGAAAAAATGAAGAGTTGAAGGAATATTCAATGAAAGAAAATTAGCACCACCGTCAACTATCTTAGTTAAAACCAAAAAAGACGTCGTGTATAGAAAATAACATTATGTACTGTAGCACTGGCTGGTTTATTTTATATTTAGAATTGTATAAAAAATAGAAGGTTGTTGTCAAATGAACATCGGGAGAGTTCTGGATAAATCTTCAAACCGAACGCTCACAGTAAATCTATGAATATATTCCTCGTTTATTATTAAGCAGTACCTCTCACTACGCTACAACCACGGCTACGTTTCCATAGGTTACCCCTAGCTATTACAAATTTGCCCTCGTTTGAGTTTAAAAATAAAACAATGCCATTAAAAAACCCTTTTCACAAATTAGAGTTATTTTTAGAACTGTGTCTGGAGGAAGATCAGTTTTTATAAGTACTTAATTATTTTGATTGAAGTTTATATTTAGCTCTTGCCTTGATCGAATTCCTAACTAGGACAATTGACGTGCGACAATAAATAAATATTAGACAACTTCACAGACATTGCTCTTCCAAAGTAAATAACTAAAGTACTTGTGTTTTGGAAATCGGAAGCAACGACAGTACTACAAACACCCAGATCCGAGACAGATTTTTTTTTACATTGATTTGGCCAAGTATAAAACCCGTTATCCAGAGGTTGTCAAGCCAAGTTCAATGATATTGACGTGTTCACAGTAACACTGAACGAAAATTTCTAACATCCGCTGTTATTTTACTATCCGAATTCCGAATTAAACGCTTGTAGACGCGCTGCTGTGACGCGTCTGTGGCGCTGCAGCTTATTTTCATACAATATCTTGTCTGCAAAAATGGCTCGCGAGTGGCGCGACCATGGCGCTGCAGTTGAGTTTCTGAATATTGTATGAAATTTTAATGAATTTACTGTTTCTAAATTATTATAGTTTCTTAAGTGAGCAAATTTTTTATTATTTTTAATGTTTAAAATTATTCATTTTGAATGGTTTTTATTCAATAAAATTGTAGTAATAAGATATTTTAACTTACTTTTAATTTTATAATGTTTTGACTTGTCAAATGTGATATTGGAAATGAAACTATTTTTCCGGATTTAAATCGCGTATATGTTTTTCAACCAAACCGACGTTTAGGGCCCTTTACAGGTCCCATGGTCACGGTTGACTCTTTTCACGGTTTCATTTCCTATGTGTAACTATCGCGAAAACCTAAGAACTCGATAAATGTGATATTTTTTGTAACGTAAATAATATATTGAAATAAAAAAATTTACCATAGGAACGTCAAAGATGTCGTCAATACTTATACCTTACCTACACTTTTTTTTCAATTGGTTGTAAGAACACAAAATAAATATTTGGACATTTCATTCACTTTGCTACGAATGGACGTATCTCACGAATTTGATGAATAAGAGTGTAAAAGTTCAGAATCATCAATCAATCAATATTCAGAATTTCGTATTCTAGGTTGTGATGTGTCAGAGGTCGACGTATGGAATTCCTGTGGCAGCACGTACCCATAACTCTCTAAGCGCTTTGTGAATGTTTAGTAGATAAATGCATTATTATATAAATGTATATTTATCCAATATAAATATATTAGATATATAATCTATAAAACAACTTCTTGATTTTCAGATAAATAACTGAACAGTTTTCGTATGGTGATATGTACCTACTTATTTCAATAAAGGACGATAGGACACGACATGTATATCGATGTACATTCTTATAACAACAACCACACATCTGTGCAATTATAAAGGTACGCATATATACTTGTAATATAAATCTTCTTCAAACAAA